ACGCATGAGAAAATTGGCGGGTTTGTCACAAAGAATATTCCCGCCAACAGGCTGTTGCAGAGGTGTCCTTTATCCACAACTAACAGTCTTTTCTCTATACTTAAGATCAGATGGCCGGGCTGGAATGAATCACCAACAAGAAGAAACTATGGAAACAAAGAATAGAAAACAAGAACCAATCGCCCAACAACAAGAAATATGCAGGAGAAAGTGGATTGGAATGGATTGAACTGTGGGAACATGCGAGAATAACAATCTGCTGGAATACATTGTCTGTATGACACCACCACAAAATGACTTTTCTATTATGTATATCTCAAGTGAAGTTTAAACTTCTCAGAATAAAGTCGGTAGAGTAAGAATAAAAAATATGAGAAATAATTTTTTTTTAATGATTTGGAAATACATTTTAAAAAACAAGTACTGAATCGAAGGTTGAATAAATAAATAACCCATTGGACATATTTTATGAATTGCTTTTGAATGACAATAATAATGAATCAGGTCCCAGTGGTTGAATGGTATCCAAGTATGCTTTGTAATCCGAAACGTCCCCGGATATGTACTACCGATGATTCTCAGACTCGGACGAAACAACTGGCTGTCCTATTCTCCCTGGTGGTTTTCAGGTGGTTCTCTAACTGATATCAATCCATGGTGCAATAACCTGAAATCAGTACACTCCCTGCAAACTAATTCCTGAAAAATTCTTAATTATTTCCACTGAGTAAGAATATTCATGCGTGTACTACTGACAAGCTTTATCAGTAGTATATAAAGAGGTGTTCATAGAAATATTAAATAGCGGAGAGATAGATTATTTGACGTCAAAGAGAGCAAATAGACCAGTCAGTATTGCGGAAAATTATGGGAGACGTGAAAAGAAGACAAAAAACGCAGTACGAGGTGTAGAAGTAGCACAACGTGGAAGATCTATGTAAATGATGATTTTCATTTAAGGTGTATACAAATTCCCTATTTTTATTATATTATTATTATTATTCCTTTGCGTTCCGAGTGGAACATAGGGAGGGCCTGAACAACACGTCTCCACTTTTCGCTATTTTCTTCCATCCCCTTCAATTGAGTCCATGATTGACCAAACTCTCTCATCTCTTCCTCACCGCACAATCTCCTCCATGTCACCTTCGCACCGACAACCCACTCGTCGCTTCCCGACGGGATTCCACTGGAGCAATGGCCTGGCACGTGATGTCATTCAGCGGCCTCCTCAATGTATGCCCGATCAATCAATCTTCATTTTCTTCAACATATTTGTTGAGCGATCGGCTTTTGCATGTTGGTTTGTTTCCAGTCAGAGCTTCTTGTTGCTTATTCTTTCTGGCTTGCTATTTGAGCTCCAGTATGGAACCGGTGAAGTCAACTGTTGATCAGGGTCTGCTACAAGCTGTTGAAAATCCGATTCTTTCTCCTTATGCTGAATGCAGTGCAGAAGATTTCCAAACTGGTTTCAAATTGATGAAGGCGTATCTTGCCTTTCCAATCCTGGCTAGCTTTGACATCTTCGTCTGTTCCACTGGTTGTAGTTGAAACGATCCTTCCTGGCCAGATAAGTGAAGGAAGGAGGCAACCTCTGTTAAATCTCTCCCGTTGATGGTGATTGATACTGGCTGTTGTTGCTGTTGGCTGGTTATTTTCATCACCTCACCTAGTTAACTAGATTGCTAGTTCTCTAGCAGGTCCCAAGTCCGGGTAAAGAGAGAGGGTTGGGCGTGGGGCTAGCAATCCCATACCACTAAATCTTTCAAACCGTTAGAGAGACTTCAACACAGAGAAAATGTATTGAATTTCCCTATACAGAGATATCAAATACCAAATAAACATTCCGTTAGCATCTGCTTTTGACTCTGTATCTAGGGGCCTTTTATTGAATAAGCTTTCGTTGACGCAAACAGAATCCTGGGCTAAGAGTTGGTTGCATTCCTATTTTTCTAATAGAATGCAGTATACTGTATATAATGGTAAATATTCTTCTACCTCGCTTACAAAATCCGGTGTTCCTCAAGGTGCCGTCCTCTCTCCTTTTCTTTTTTCTTTCTTCCTACATGACCTAACTCATTTAAACGAAACTAACTTTGTCAAATATGCGGATGATCTGACTGTATCACTGTCTACCACCTCCGAGTCTGACTGCTCAGAACTTAATATCTTTCTGTTGAACATCAGCAAGTGGTCTAAGTCAAATGGTCTTATATTAAATCCTTCCAAATGTCAGGCAGTTAACTTTACTTCAAGCATCGACGTGACATACATGAACTAGTCAGTTCCCATGATCCCTGTAGCATAGATGGCACAGAAAATGAAACCAAGTCAAGCAGCATTAACTACCTTGGATTAGTTCTTTCCTGTAACCTTTCATAGTCATCCCACATCTAATCAATCTCTAAGAAAATGTTTCTTCTTACCTTCTACATTAAATAGTTAAGACGATCAGGTATCAACCAACCTTTACTTCTGCAGTTTTTAAACTCCTGTATTTTACCTATTGTACTCAATTGCTCTCCATTAATCTTTCCTGGGCTTCTCAATAAAGACTATATCATATTACGAAGGGTATTAAATGCTGTGAGTAGGGCTTGTGGTCTGCCATTGCGTCAGCTCGCCAATAGTATAGTCGAGAGACACATAAATTCCTGTACAAAATAGGTAAAGGCCGTACTGTCAGACCCCTGCACCCCCACTTTATTCACAACTATCCCCTTGCATCTCATCGAGTGGGACGAGAAGTCAACATAAGAAGTTATATGCTTGAACCACTAAGTACAAAAATTCTATAATACCCTATTTAGCCCGTATTTTATGTGATGGAGACACTGTTAGACGTGAAACACATAAGTTACTATGTAATTAGCAAAGTGAATCGACCCTTTCATCGTTTATTTTTCTCTAATTTTATAGTATCACACTTTCTGTCGTTTATTTATAACGTTGCTATTTTGTTTTAGTTATTATTACTATTATTACTACAATTTTATACTTTGTACATATTTTTCACCGTATTGCATACTGTAATTGCTACATGGCTGCTATAACAACGTTTTGTTATTATTATTACGTACTGGATATTCTCTTGTCGTTTTCAGTAAATTAGATGCAATATTGTACTGAATGCTGAAAATTCCTTGCTGTATCATTAGTACTGTTTTTGGAATAAAGCAAATTATTATTATTATTATCTTCTGCCGTTACAATATGTCTAATCAACTAATTTACTGAATCCATTCAAATTTGGAAATCGCAAATATTTTACTCTTTGGTAATATTTTCGAGCAAAATTACTGCACGCGATTACATCAGTTGTCGGAATTCACACATGATTTGTAATCATGAATATATGTAGTCTACTTACTGTCCATTCATTTTTGTGTAACCAGAATTATATTCTAGGTTATTGACAGAATTACAAGTTACTGTCAGCAAAGTCTGTGAATACACGTTATTATTATTATTATACCCTTTAATTCCTAGAGGAACATAGGGCTTCAGCCGTCCAAGTCTCCATTGAGTTCGGTTTTCTACTAACTTTTTCACCCCGCTCCAAGTCTGCCCACATGCTTTCATCTCCTCTTCACATAACCTCGTACAAGTCACCCTACCGTCGCACTGACGACCAACTCGCCGCCCGCTTCCCTTTCGGGTTCCACTCGAGCAATGGCTTGTCTAGTGAGGTCACTTGATGGTTCCTCAGCGCATGGCCAATCCATCTCCATTTCTTTTTGTCTATTTGTTGCACAATCGGTTCCTACTGGGTTGGTTCGCTCTCAGAGATTTTTGTTTCTGATCTTTTCTGGCCGGCCATCTGATCTTGAGTATTGAGCGAAGACAACTGTTAATGAAGGTCTGTAGTTTGTTTGAGATGCTGTTCATGACGCTCCAAGTCTCTGATCCATTTAACGAGTAGCACTGACTTCAAATTGGAGTTGGAAATCCGGATGTTATTTTTGATGATGAGTGCTGTTGACCTCCACACAGACTTGAGAGTAATGAAAGCTTGTCTTGCTTTTCTGATGATCCTGACTTTGATATCCTCATCAGTTCCATCTGTAGTTGAAACGATGATTCCCAATTCGGTATGTAAAGGAGGTTGCTTCTTTCAGGTTTAAGTAACTTGAAAATCCCCATTCAGTCATATAAAAGAAAAGAAGGCGTTCAGCGAAGAGACTCTTTTCGGCGAATTCACTCACTGAGCTGTACAATCGCATATATATACAAATTTGTTTGTGTGTGTGTACATTAGATTTATGAAGTTTAGATAATTATGTAATGTAAGTATTATTTGGCTTGGAGACAAACGTTAAGATGCAGGCTGATCGTTGTCTGTTGTTGTTGTTGCTGTTGGTGTTGGCCAGGAATCTTCATCACCTCTGTTTCATCATTGTTCACCTGTAGTCCTATCTTCTCTGGATGCTTCTTGTGCCAGCTTGTTGCTTTTCACTTGCATATCTTCCAGTTTGTGGGAAATCAGACATATATCATCAGCGAAGTCCAGATCCTCCAAGTTTGTCTTTGTGTGAGTCCATTTTATGCCTGTTTCCTTATTGCTCAGCCCGTTGTATGTCGCATTATCCAATCTACTGCAATCAGGAAGATCATTGGTGATAGTAGACAGCCTTGCTTCACTCTCGTCGTCACTTCGAAGGATGCTACAATTGCTTAGTTACACGTTAATATAATATACAATAATACCTGTGATCGTATTTCTTCAATTTTCTGCCAACCAGTATACAATTAAGCAACATTAGCCTCATTATTATCTCCCGCGAAATGGAGACCAGTTCGAATAAACAAACCATTCAATATTCACCAACACTAACACTACTTTTAATAATTTAAAAATAAACTTATTACATAAAAATTTCTAGGTCACTTAATAATGATTTCCGATGAGTATTCGTTTCACAAGTGTATGGTACAAAGGTGAATTATGTCTGTGTGCACTGTCAACACGTATTCCATTCGTATTCCATTGGCTGAAACTGACTAAGAAAAACAGCTACCACACAGAGTTTGCATCCACCTATGTGCCAGTAAGCTATAAAAATCCAATTGATCTATAACACTAATAAGTCTTTATTAAGAGTCGTATATATTATCATGTATCTGAGGCTCCTTTCCTACTTGATTTTATGGTTATCCGTCTATTCCACACACATTGCCGGACTCGTTCCTAAGCCAACAAATTATGATATCACTACATCAGCATGCAGTCTACTCTATACCCCAATTTATCAACATAATTATCCATCATGTTTGATACTAACAAACTCTCTAAGGAATTTTGAATCTCGACTAGCGCTAAGACATATCCCAATTGATAAGCCTACTGAAATAAAATGCAGCATACACAGAATAAGGTGGAGATCAGAGATGGATGTGATGAATCTGAGTATAAACTATGGCCAAGTGGATCAATGGATGAATCATGTGAGTAGTCACAACTTATGTGTGTGTGTATAATTCACTCATAATCTCATAACAGATAACATCACTATTCATGACCAAGAAATAAGTATCACATCAAATGAGATTTGGGGTGTATTACATGCTCTGGAAACAATACTTCAACTGGTGTATACAAATGAAGTTGGAGAGGTTTCGTTTGTTTTGTCTTTTTCTGTGTTACCTTGACTAATTGTACTTCTTCTTTGTGTAGAATTTGATTTTTAAAGGTAGGATAGAAGATGATCCGGTATTCGCATATCGAGGAGTATTGGTCAATACTGGAAGTAACTTTATACCTATGGAGTATTTATTCAAAACAATAGTGAGTCTCTGTATAACCAATACGAATGCATCGTTTTGTTTTCTCTCCCTCGGTGTCTCTCCACTTATAAAGGATGCTATGGCAATGGTTAAAATGAATGTATTCCACTGGCGTGTAACAGACAGTCAATCATTCCCTTTTGTATCTTCAACTTATCCAGAATTATCAAACAAGGTAAGTGAAGTTATCGGAATTTCCACTTTCTATGGTTGACTTGTCTTGCTTCATTAATAGGGTGCTTTTCATCCACAATTTTGCACATATGATGAAGAGGAAGTTGCCGATTTGTTGGAATATGCTCGTCTTCGTGGAGTACGTGTTATTTCAGAATTTAATACACCAGGTAATTTACTGGAAGTTCATTTTATGTGGGTAATAAACTTTATCATGTAAGAAAGTGGGTAGTTAGTGCAATAATTACCGACAGATAATCGTGAATCCATGACTCAGTACAATTAGGATGACTGTCAGTTGTCTAGATTGTAAAGATGCTGCATCTTTCGTTGGTTGATTGACTGACTGACTGACTGGCTGGCTGGCTGGCTGGCTGGTTTCAACATAGAACTTTGTACCGATATGCAGCAGTTCCAGTCACCACACTCCCTTCTTGTAGTACACAAAGCAAGAGAAGAAAGTGGAAGGAAATGCAAAATAGAGACAGTAAACAGAGAAATAACGCAAAAATGAATAGTAATAACGAAGAACAATATAGTCTCATTGGGTATTATAAGTCACAAGGAGTGAATGCATCTGCACCAGCCATTGAGAAGGAGGATTTTTAGTCACATCACTATTCGTCTCCAGTCTTCATTGGTGTTTACAATCCCGAGAACCCCAACCAGGAAGTCTACATCTTTTTATGTAACTAGCTTAAACTAACTGTTGTGGATTTCACTGACTGATGTATCCATGTTTAAGTTTGACCACCACTCACTAGCTCTTTTCCAACCTGGTTCATCCTATATCAGCTAACATTGTCCGTCGGTTGAGGAAGACGATGGCTGGGGATGCATGCGTAACACATGTCCTAACCATCTCAGTAAATGCTTTCGTTGGTGTCAGAAGACTATGCCTCCCATGCAGAATGCTACGCACATTATTCGACGAGGAACAACAGAAGACGGTGGCGTGAAACGATTATTTATTCCCCCACAGATAACCAAACAGAATTATAAGTTACTGTCAGCAGAGTCTATGAACAGAAGTTAGTATGAAGTTGAATAATACCTCTGATCGTATTTCTCCAATCTACTACCAATCAGTATACGATTAAGCGAAGTCGCCCTTATTATCTCCCGCGAGATGGAGACCATTTCGAATAAACAAACCATTCAATGTTCACCAACATTCGCAGTGGCTGTGATGATGACTGAGTATGATGAGGGTTAACTGTTGTTAATGTCTTAAGAATTTCTTCAATAACACGCAAATCCATAAGACTGGAATCTGTATTACTGTTATTATTATCAACGTCATCAGGAATTTGTAGTAAATATATATGTGTACATATCTTTCGTTTAGATCATACATTATCATGGGGAAATGGTTATCCTGACATACTAACAAAATGCTATAAAGATTCTGAACCAGATGGAAATTTAGGTCCATTGAATCCAACTAATCCTGAAACTTTCACATTTCTGGAGAATTTTTACAAAGAAGTTGTCACTCGATTCTCTGACAGCTATCTTTACCTTGGTGGTGATGTTGAATTTTTAAGTTGTTGGTGAGTACACCAGTTTTAGTATCAATATTATTATGATTATTTATTATTCCCTTCAAAAACACATCTTCACTTCATTCAATTTTCTGTGGTCCTCTTTAGTTGGCTCCGCAAGTGTTCATAACTTCTCATCTCCTCCTCTACACACTATTTGCTTCTTGTAACCCTCGAAATGAAGCCAGACTCGCAGTTTTCAATTCGGATTCCACTTGGGAGACGGCCTGGAGCGCTATTTCATTCGATAGATGCCTCAGCGTATGCCAGCTCAGCTTCATTTTCTACTTTTTATATTTGTTGAAGGATTAGTTGTTTCCATAGTTTCTTGTCGCTAATTTTTTCTACCCAACTGACCATTTCATTTTGTAGTATGGAGTCAGCAAAGGCAGGTAGGTGTTGATAAAAGACTGCAACAGCTTGTTGGAAATGTTTTTCATGACATGCAGTGGCACGAAGCAGTGACTAACTGACTGACTTCACATATGTGTTGGAAATTCGAATCTTGTTCTTTATGTTGACTGAGTGAAGGAGATGTCCAAATTGATTTCGCATTGTTGAGGGTGTTTACCCCACTTTTCCCCGATTCTAGCTGACTTTCAAAATCTTTATCCGTTCCGAGTGCCTATAGCTGAAGTGATGCTTCCTGACCAGATAAGTGAAGGAAAGAAGTACTGTAAGCGCAATATCGCTTGAAATTAAGTCACGCGTAGATGAAGGCTATCCCGGTCCAGAACAAACAAGAAGCCGGTCACTGTTTCTACGGTACTATTAATAAACAAATCAATAATTATATATACAACAAACCTTAACGGTTTCAAGAGTACAAAGCACAACGCTTAACAGAAAGCAAGGTACCGCTATCAGAGCGGAATACCGTTAAAGCCAAAATTGCGAACTAGCCGGAACCAGACACGACCGTTCAGGTAAGCAGTCAGTAGAAGAATGAACCCAAGTAAGGCATGGCATAAAACAGAGAGCGTTTAAGAGAGATAGACCGAGCATAGGCACAAAGATAGGATTTAATTGGCTACTTAACCAGGTAGGAAAATACAGATGAAAATCAATAAATAAGATAAACTCGACAGAATAGTACAAAGTTAGACATGGGTCAGCAAAAATAACAGTTCACAAAATACTCTGATTGGGCCATGAGTTCAACTGTCTGACTAAACAGATCGAGGTAAAAACACATACACACAGTTCATTAAACAAGCAGGGATAGACACGTTAGGCATGGATAATTGGGTTGCAACAACTCTAGGCTGATCCGGGACAGGTTGACTTGATTCAAGGATGGGAATAGAATTGATCTTACAAGTACCCTGTGTCAAATATCTCCCGCTGATGTTGACTAATGCTGGTAATTGTTGTTGTTGTTGGTGTTGGTGGTGGTGCGTGAGTATCTTCATCACCTCTGTCTTCTCTATCTTTACATGGAACTCTGTCTTCTTTGCTTGCCTCTTCTGCCAGTTTGTTGGTTTCAGCCCGCCCGTAAATCTTCGAGTTTGTGTGATATTCAACACTTATCATCCACGAAATCCAGACCTCCTAGAGTCTCCTTATCGGTGGTTCAACGTATCCCTGCCTTCTCTCTCTCCCTCTCGCTCATGCTCAATTTTTCGCATAATCCAATTCATCACAATCAGGAAGACTACCATCATATTAAGTACTAACCTTCAAATAAATAAAACTGTTGACTATCCTTACGTTTAACTGCGAATCGAGTATTAAATCCTCGTCGTTAAAAATAAACGAAGATTTAGACCAAAGAAATTCTGATAATACTATTTTGACTAGTTATGTTTATGTTTCATCCTAAATTAACTGCAAACTACTGATGTGTATAATATACACAAAGTACTGATGTTACATGGCTGGAGGTAAACAGAAGGAAGCCATGAGCCTAATTTTCGCGCTCATTGACACACTTTAGCAAAGCGTAACTGCAACCTGGAAGGAGATCATATCACCGCAGAGATTCAGACTTGTCTTGCCCAATCCTGCAACTCGATACCTATCCACCAGGCTTTCTAAAATCAATGCAAAGTGCACTACAATGGTAACTCTCTTATTTCGCTTAAAACATTGCAAACCTGATTGGTACAATTCCTATGAGTCTTTCCGATTCCACATGTTGGATGTAGACTCGATGAACAAGGATTCAGTATCCTAAATTAACTGCGAACTATTGATGTGTATAATATACGCAAAGTACTGGTGTTGTATACTTGAAGGTAATCGGAAGTTTATTTCACAATGTTTGTTGTTGTACCTGCTGTACAATAATAGTAGCAAAAAAACAGTAGAAGACAACAAATCTGTGATGATAAGAATGTTTAAAATACGTTAGTTGCAAAACTAATTTTCATAAGGTTCCACTACCAAAAGTCATTGAAATTTTATTGAAAAAGTGAATCTCTGTGTGTTTACAAAATGAAGACAAGATTTCGCTGAACTTTTCTTTTTAAGCTTCAGGTGTGTAAGTAGAATTATATGAAAACTGTTGTTTCCATTTTCTAAACACACTGGGGATTATTTGAAATGACGCTAAAACAATTCAATGTGAAGTTTGGCGTTCAAATTGTTCTGGGGAAATTTGCAATATCTCTGGTTTGGATATTTGTGAACGTAACAGATAAGAGCTTAGGATAGAAAAACTGAGATTAGGTAGAATCTAAGTGTACGGAAAGTAAATAATCGGAGTTCGAGACAAGATGTATTGACCTTAAAGCGATGGATTACAAATAATTTGGGGTGATGTAAATTATTAGGTTTTTCATCGGAGGGATAATGGCTGTGCAAATATCTTCTGAACATGTCATAGTGACTGCTCCAAACTAAATGGCTTTTTATCAGATATCAGCCAGTGGTCCAAGGAAAACGGTCTTACCTTAAATCCCTCTCTCTAAATGCCAAACAGTCAATTCCACCTTTAGGCATAAATTGACTGACCTAAACAAACTGGTTAGCACTCTCGAGGTGTGCAACATAGATGGACAGCACTGAAATAGAAACCAAGTCAGAAATTAAATACCTAGGCGTCATTCTATCTGATGATCTTTCCTGGTCGTCTCATATCTTGATGATTTCTAAGAAAATATTCCGTCTTACCTTCTACATCAAGAAGTTAAGACATTCTGGAATAACCCAACCCAACCCAACCCTTACTCCTACAATTCGTTAACTCCTGCATTCTGCTTATTATTCTCTATTGCTCTCTCGTTAGTTTTTCCACGGCTGGCTACTGAAGAAAGACTATACCTTATTACGTTGGATGTTAAAGGTTGTCAGCAGGGTAAGCGACGTGCCACTTAACCAGCTTGTTAATATTCTGATTGACAGGCACATGGACTCATGTTAAAAATGGGCAAAATCCATTCTATCTATCTAACTCACACCATCACCCTCTTCATTCACAACTCTCCCCCCTTGTATCTCTTCAGGGAAAACCAGAAGTCTATATAGAAAACTATATGCTCGCACTAGCAACTGCAAAAACTCAACGATACCCTACTTAGCTCGGCTTCTGTGCGATAAAGAAAGCATTAGGCGTTAAACCTATAACTTATTAAATAGTCAGTAGAACAATTGGATCTCGTCTCTCCAACTCATATCATTTACAGGTACAACGTTTTCTTTCTCTCTTTTTTTCTGTTATGTGCTGCTTTGTTTCTCTCTTCCTTACAAACCCTATTAAAACATTCTGTAAATCTTGACCTTTTGTTACCGCTTACGCCAGTAAATATGCTGGCATCTACTTTTCTAACACCTTCAAACGACATTCTGTTCAATTTTGGCTTTGCTACCGACATGCCAATATGTTGTTGTCATAATGACGTCCATCTTTGTAGAATTTTATTTGAACTGATTAAAAATGCCCTCTGAAATTTTTTCAAAAGAATGGATACTGAACAAAGAGTACTCTTTTCGATAAATTCATCATCAGGCTCTACATTTATACATACATTATAGTGAATGAATGAGTTAGTGTTATAAACGACATTAATGTTTAAATAACATCAAATCAATAATATTGATGGATTACAGCTGAAACGCATCAACATAGAATAAGCTGAATGTCAAAAACATTAAGAAAGATAATAGTACAAATTCATGAGTTTATAGCTTCTACTGAAGGCCAGGGCAATAGTAGGGGCTGAACTTGCTTCTTTTGGACACAGAGTGCTGGTTGTTTGAGGCGAATCGCAATAGCCTCTGCTGTTTGGAGCCTGCGTGGCTTCGATGTTTTCGGTAATTTATTTGGCACCCGGTATAATGTAGAGAAGGATTCATCTACGCTGGCTTTGTGTCCTGTTTGCACCAGATGTTCCAATATCGAGCTGTTAATAGTTTTCACTACACCTTTACTTAGCCAAGCTGGGAGATGTTCTCCAGTGAGCACGAAAAATCAAGTTCCTAGAGCAACGGCCAATATAACTGGCTCCACAAGCGCAGTTGAATTGATAGATACAATTAGAAGTGGCTAGTCTAGGTACTTCATCTTTCAGTCGAGGAATCACCATCGGTCGTGTAGAGAATAAGACGTGTAGTTCGCCAGCAGTAAAAGTTCTTTGAACTGATTTTCTTAATTTCTTCGCAACTATCTCGCTTGGTATATCGCCCATGAATTGTAGTCGTATATAAAGAGGCTTCTTTTTTACAGATAGTGAGTAGTCCTTTTCCTCTTCTTTGTCATATGTTTCTTGATAAATTTTTCGGGATAGCCATTTTCGATCAAAGTATCATATACAATGCTTAATTCATCTTCAATTACTTCTTCTGAGCATATAGCTCTAACTCTGTGGCTGAGGGTCTTCACTAAATTTCTTTTATACTTGATAGGAACGAAGCTGTGAAAATGTGTATATTGTCCTGTCCAAGTGCTTTTTCTATGCAAATTTCTTTTTATGCTACCATCTGGTTTTCTTGTAAGTAGGACATCCAGGAAGGCAATTCTGTCTTGGGATTTCTCTTCGCATGTGAATTTCATAGCCGAATATACTTCATTGAATTTAGTGATTATTGTACTTCTATCAGAACCATTATCACAAAGAATAAAGGTATCATCCATATATCGGCAATAAAATGAGAACTTACTGATAAGGTTGTTCAGAGGTCCATTTTCTAGCTTACTTAGAAAGAAATCAGCCAGAATGGGACCCAATGGGGAGCCCATCGCCACCCCATCCACTTGTCTGTAAATCATGCCGTTAAATTTGAAATTTACATTCATGGTACATCTCAATATCAATTCTTTTAGGATCTCAGTATGTATGTCAATGTTTATCGACAGCTTGTCCACTTGTTCGCCTATGTAGTTAACTGTTTCTATTAAAGGTACATTTGTGAATAATGATGTTATGTCCAGAGATATCATGATTTTGTCCTTGATGTTAATATCTTTTATTTTGTCTACGAATTCAAATACATCTTTGACGCTATATTTCACTATCTTCTCATGCAAAGGTTTGAGAATATTTACTAACCATCTAGCTAGAGCATGGTAGGGCGAATTTTGCATATCAAGTATTGGTCTTAATGGTACCCCTGGTTTATGCACTTTAGGTAGGCCATACAATCTTGGCGTATACGTGCCCGTTGGTCTGATTTCTTCATATAAACTTTCAGAAAATATCTGCTCTTCCTTTAGTTTCTTCAAACGTCTGGTTAATTCATTCTCTATTTTGTTATTGAAATCTTTCTTCTCCTCAAGTTTTTGAAACTTCTGTGTGTCCTTTATATATATCATTCATCTTTTTAATATAGTCACTTCTATCAAGGAGGACTACTCCTGATCCTTTATCCGGCTTTGTGATTATCAGTCTCTCATCATTAATCAGTTTTTTCAGTTCTTCTCTGTGCTCCTTTGTCAAGAAACGTTTACTGTCGCATTTGAGGTTTTTGTACTGATAACAACAATCCACTAGACTGGATTTGAAGCGTTCTAGTTGCAGGGTGGATGATGGAACTAGATCCTTGTTTGACTAATAGGTTTTCAAATTCAATATCTGTATCTAAGTGATTAACTCGTTTCGGTCTATCACAAAATCGAAGGCCAAGGGAAAGTACTTCAAGTTGCACCTTATTTAATTCAACACTACTATAATTGTAGACGTACTTTTTAGGATCTGATGAAAATTTACCAGCCTCTGGCTTCCTTTCAAGTCCTTTCATAAGCTCTATCTGCTTCTTCTGTGCCCTTTGTTCACTAACTTGAGTAACGTATTCCATAAAAGGCGTTCTAAGATCTTCTGGTAGTTCATCCACCACATATTGCCTGCAAGCGATATTCATTTCATTCTCTTGTATGAATGTAGATAAAGAGTCTGTTTGGTTGAGTGCATATCGTCTCAGCGTCTTTCTATTGGGATGAACCCTGCTTCGACGTAGAGACTTGTAATAAACTTTAGGATAGTGATTTGACTCAATGCAATTGTTAAGGAATCCCAATGTAGCCCTTGTTTCATTGAGCTTAGCTGTCTGTCTGTCTCTCTGTCTGTTTTCGACATAGAACTTTGCACATATGTGCACCAGTTCAAGTCGCCGCACTCCATGTAGCACACAAAGTAAGAGAAGAAAGTAGAAGAAAGGCATAATAAAGACAGTAAACAGAGGTGTGAGACAAAGGAATAGTAGTAACGAAGAACAAAACAGTTTCATTGGAAATCATAAGTCACAAGGAGTGGATGCATCTGCGCCACTGAGAACGATTTTGAGCCATGTCACCAATTGTTTCCAACCATTGGTTTTCACCGTCCCGAGGACCCCAGCCAGGAAGTCTACACCTTCCTACATGGCTTAGACTAACTGTTGTAGATTTCATTGACTGGTGAGGCCAAGTTTTTGTTTGACCGCCGCTAGCTTTTTTCCAGCCTGACCCTATATCCGCTAACATTGCCCATTGTCGAGGAAGGCGATGACTAGGCATACGTAACACATGTCCTAACCATCTCAGTCTTTGTAACTTCATAACTTCGTCGATTGATTTCCCCTGTTTACCTAGCACTCGACGCCTAACCTCAATATTGCTCACCTTAATATACCACTTCATACGGGAGACTGAACGCAGGCACCTATGATCAAAGACAGCTAGTCTTTTCATGTCTTCCACTCTCAGTGGCCAGGTCTCACAGCCATAAAGGAGGACGGAGCGGACTGATGAGCAGTAATTGAGCTTAGCGTTATACTTCAGGTATTTCAGTTAGAAACTGGATGCAATACTGTAGTAAAGTGGTGAGAATTCCATTCTGTATCACAAGTACTTTTTTGGAATAAAGCAAATTATTGTTATTATCTTGGATTGTAAACTGGCAGAATAGGAAGACCATTGGAAAGATTTGAATGGAGGCAATGAGTCACTTTCAGTGTCTTTGTCTAATCCAGTAGTAATGATAATAACAACTTTATTCTGGGCAGTTCTTTTATAATGTACAAAATTTTTAGCGGAGTTTATCGTATGATATTTTCCTTCCGTGCAGGATCTTCAAATAAAATGTTAACTGAGGGTAGGTCTTGTGATACGAAGCTCTCTAAGCTGAAGCACAACCCAATCCATTATAATGTTTCGTCCTTGTCTCCTTCGAGAACTCCACGACTCTTGATTGAAAGGCAATAGTAAAAGATTTCAATAGTGCATTTTGGGACCCGAGGATATAGCTCAAGAGCAACTGTCCCATGTATTGGAATGAGTTGCTACCCATAATCAGGCCGTTTTTCAAGTTTAGTAGAAACTTGCGAATCAGCAGATTGCAAACAATTTAAATACTCGCCAGAGCAAATAATAACACTTAGGGACATATTTTATTCAATTAAAACAAAACTACCAAGAGAATTTATATGCTTTCAGGATTTCATCATGAGCTGACATTAGTTAGAGAACCATTGGGAAACCTGGGAGTACTGGACAGCTGTTTCGTCCTAGTTTGGGACTCTTCATCAGTACGCACCCACCGCCATCATTCGAACCCAGGACCTTCCGGTTACAAGGTGAGCTCGTATACCATTAAGCCACTGGGACCCGATCCAATGGTCCTTGAATCTAACTTCTGCCAATTCACGACATAGCGCGACCGCTAGCCAATGTCTTCGGCGAGTATTTGTCCTCACACCCGACCAGCTGCACCCTACTGGTCATATGCATTATATAGACGGAAGTTTTTGGTAACCCAAGTTCCACGCAGGCCACTTCACTGAGTCCACTACTGTCAAATGGAGTCTGATAACCTGGAGCTCGAGGTTACCGTCACTGCTCCGATTGTCACATGTTTCTCCATTGTTCATCAGTGTTGCCAATATTACTGCAACAATAGAACATCAGCACCTACTATCTCCTGTTTTCGTTTAATCAGACTAGCATAAAGTTTACTGCTTCCTTTTACAGGAAATCTAATCCTGAAATAGTTCAGTTTATGGATAGTATGCAATTCGGTGACGATTATGGTAAACTAGTCACGTACTACATGGACAGGCTTGTAGAAATCATTGAAAATGTGACAGGGTCTGAAAGTACAATTACACCAATTCTACATGAATCAGTGTTTACAAATGGATTCCGCGTGAGTAATTTTATACCCCCCCCACCCCACCGGTGAATTATTCTTGTTGGTATTTGTTAATTATATGACAATTGGAAAACGTGTTTCTAATCGTTTTATTAATGAGCACAATTTATAAAAAATATTTTTGACAGTCCTTCACGTTTCCTTGAATTGGAAGTATTATCTCAATGAAACTGTTCAGCTATTGACTAATTAGACTACAACTAGTAATATTATTTGATGTTCCTTGAACTTTCTATGGCGGTTGAGTTAGTTTTCCGTGGGAGGGTCGCTAGCTGCACCTCAACCTTCCATCTTCTTTCGGATTATAGCCGACTAGTTAATTAGGCCAACCAAGAACCTATCCCCTGATACATATGCAGAAGGCTGTAGGGAAGGATCGAATATATGGAGAGAAAGCCGTTCAGTGATATTGCTGGCTTGGCGTCCAACAGTGATTTGAGGAGATCATATGTAGATAGAGTGATAGGTTGTCGGCGATTGTGATGCCAGCTAAAGAGGACTGTATCAAGAAAGGATGGAATGAAGGTGTGTGCTGATAAAGCTCTGTGTTACATCCGGGTCCCAAAGGAAATAATAATAAGTTATATTATTTATTGAATTGAATTTTTGATTTTCCCGTCGATTGATTGGACCGAAGTGCTCGGTCTCAGGTTGACATGTCAGCTTCTTGTGCAGATGCTTCGACGATATCTGGGTATTTAATCGGTGGGAACACCATCACTCACTGAGAAGTGCAAATACATCCAGATGACGAGTCCCAAATAGGACGAAATGTGCATCCTGGATTCCACTGCTAGCCACCATCCACCAATTGTACACTAAGTTATATTATTAGTCATTCCGCATGTTTATTTTCCTCTTCACACGATTAACTCCATATCAGCCGCATTGCTTCCCATTTTGGCTCCATAAGAGAATTTCATGTATGTTGTTATTCAGCGGCCTCCCAAGAGAAGAATTTCAGTTCGTCTTCATTTTCTTCTCCATATGTTTTAGATAATGGGTTATTAGCTAGTTTACTCCTTGAATTCCTTGCTGTTTTACCCCTACCGGCCACCTCATCTTTACTATCGAGCACAGATAGATGTCGATGAAGGTGTGCAGCTTCTTAGGATAGTATCTATCGTTGTGATTGCTACTGATATGAATAATCATTAGTATGTAAGAGAAGTTCATTGACATAAAGACATCAAATATCAAGGAGATACATTTGATGTCAGAGAAGGCAAACGATATGGCGTTGTGGAGATGCATGAAAGAAGTGAAAGGAACACAAAGAAACATGATATGAAGGCCAGAAGTACGACAACACTGAGGTTTGTGCAAATTGTGCGTTGAGGATAATCTGTACATAATTTGGTTATATGGAGATACCAAGTCTTTCGTCTTCCACCGTTACACTATGATGCTCGCTAGAATTTCCTGAACCATGTATAAGCACTAATTCACATTACTCTTCAAAATTCTGATCTTGTTTCTTCTGCTGAGCACTACTGATCTGCACACTGATTTTGGATCCATATATATACACACACAGTGATCCAAAAAGCCTTATTCACAAAATGTATTTCATCATATTGGTGAAAGGTAATTAAGTTATACTACTTTTGAGAGATACTTTGCTGTTTATGGCACATATATATCTTCTATTATTATTTATTACATTATTGTTTCCTTCAGTTCCTAGAGGAACATAAGGTTTCAGCCGTACGTCTCCACTGTGTTCGGTTCTCCACCAACGTTTTAACCTGGCTCAACGTCTGCTCACATGCTTTCATCTCCTCTTCACACGACCTCCTCCATGTCAGTCCACCCTCACATTGACGACCAACTCGCCGCTTCCTATTCGGGTTCCACTCGAGGGTCTGTCTAGTGATGTCACTTGATGGTTTGATTTCATAGAGTATGGCCAATCCACCTCAATTTTTTCGTGCATATTTGTTGCACAATCCGTTCCTGCTGCATTGGTTCGCTCATTGCCAGAGATCTCTGTTGCTGATCTTTTCTGGCTGGCCATCTGACCTTGAGTATTGAGCGAAGACAACTGTTGATGAAGGTCTGAAGTTTGTTTGAGATGCTCTTTATGACGCGCAGTGCAAGTCTCTGATCGTATGATGAGTAGCACTGGCTGACTTCACAATGGAGTTGAAAATCCGGATCTTATTTTCATTTTCATGCTAAGTGTTGTTGATCTTCACATAGACTTGAGAGTAACGAAAGCTTGCCTTGCTTTCATGATCCTCGCTTCTGTGATATCCTCATCAGTTCCGTCCGCCTGTAGTTGAAACGATGCTTCCCAGGTTGGGAGGTAGGCAAAGGAGGTTCCTTCTTTCAAATTTCTCCCATTTATGCTGGCTGATTGTTGTCTGTTGTTGATGGTGTTGCTGTATGCCAGGAATTTTCATCACCTCTATTTTCTCTATGTTCACCTGAAGTCCTATCTTCGCTGGATGCTTTTTCTATCATCAACTTGTTGCTTTTCACTTGCACATCCTCCAGTCTGTGAGAAATCAAATATATCTCCTATAATAAGAAATTATTAGCTTGTGTTTCACAAACATTCAGGCATTCTTTTTCATTTTCCTTACTACCCATTATTTTAATGTTCTCTAATGTTCTACTTCATGACTTTTTTTTCAAATGCGCACTTTATATCTTTTCTCCATCTCTTAATGTATTCGTGATCGACAGAGCAAAACCAATGCAATAATTCACGTATCCAGTAGCTTGGATCGGAAAACTGTGACACAATTAGCTACTACAGAAGGATTTAACGTTATAGTTACTGGTGAATGGCAACTTGATGTTTGGTTGAGTGCAGATGACTGGAAACAGCATTATGAGCAGGATATCAGAGACTTTGGAGGTAAGTTATCTGTCGCATTTCTTTTAGGTGAACAGCATATTCGCTATATTCGATTACTTTTCAATCGATTGAATAAGTTACTTGGTCTGTTGTTGTACTTTTATGAAAATGGACCGTAAGGCGTCAGCAGTATCTCTTCATTTTTCTCTGCTTTCTTAAGTTTTTTTTTTAAAACTGATTCTACCATTACTTGTGATTTTTTATCTCCTTTTCACACGATCTCCCTCTTTGTTACCATTGGACGCCTAAATTGTCGTCTCCTATTAGAGCCCTATCCAAGAGCTTCGTCAGTGATGTCACATAGCAGCACTTCTCAGTGTGTACCCAATCCATGTCCATATCCTTGTATGAATTTGTCGGGCGACAGGTTGTTAGTTGGTTAGTTGCAAGAATTCCCCTATGCTAATCCCTTCTGGCCGTCTAACCTGAAGTATGGAGGGATCAGAGTTTACAGTCTGTTTGAAAAATGTGTGTAGTATGGAGTCAGTAAAATCAAAGGAATCAGTTGGCAGAAAATAAATTTTCAACGAAGATATAGAAAAATTCACTGTTCATAAGAGCAACATACTATTGTCGTCAGCAAGTGATGTGTCTTCCAATATATTTCAACACATCCATCATGGTATAATTAATTACTCTACGCATCATCATCAAACAAAGCATGGAATGGCAATCAAACCTCTACCTCAACTTTATAGACTTTGAGAAGGCCTTCGACAGCGTCGACCGCGAAGTAATTTGGAAACTACTCCAGTACTAGGGCATACAGTACCCCAAATATTCATCAGCCTCATTCAACAGCTGTACGACAACGGAACATGTCAAGCCATCCACAACGGAAAACTCAGCGAGGCGTTTGGAGTAAACACAAGAGTCAGACAAGGCTGAATGTTTATTGTCACCAATGATATTCCTAACCGTGGTGGACTGACTGGATTATGCGTCAGACAGTGAGTGGGAAACGAGAAGACAGGTAGGGATATCCTGGACCGACGTGAAGAAACTAGAAGACCTGGATTTCGCGCGTGGATGATTTATGTTTGATGTCACACAAAATCGAAGTTTTACAAGCGAGCGAAAACCGACAAACTGGTCGAATAAGCAGCCGGCGAAGACAGGAGTCCATGTGAACATAGACAAGATGGAGGTTATGAAAATAACCAACCAACAACAACAAAAACAACAACAGCAACATCCAGTCGCAATCACCATCAATGGGAGGGATTTGAAAGAAGTTACTTCATTCACTTATCTAGGGAGCATTGTCTCAACTACAGCCAGTCGGAACAGACGAGGATGTCGAGAGAATCGAGAATCGGGGGGGAATAACTTGAAATCAATCTGGAAAACCAATCTTCGTCACTCAGCCAGCATCAACAACAAAATTCGGTCGAATTTTCAATACGAACGTGGTCAAGTCAGTCAGTTCTTCTACACGGATCAGAAACTTGGCGGGCGGGTCACCAACAATATTTCCAACAGCCTGTTGCAGACGTTACCTTTATCAACCAGCCACTGTCTTCGCTGGATCTATACTGAAGATCAGATGGCCGGGCCGAGCCGGAAAGAATCACCAACAGAGAACTATGGGCTCTAACTAACGAAGCCAGAACAAACCAATCGCCCAACAAATATGCAGGAGGAAGTGGAGATGGATTGGACACTCTCTGAGAAGGCCGCCGCTGGGTGACATCGTGCGTCAGGCCATCGCTTGAGTGGAACCAGGCCGAAAGGGAAGCAGTGAGTGGGACGTCCAAGGTTGACATGGATGAGATCATCTGAAGAGGATTTGAAACAGCATGGACTAATTTGGATGCAGGTGAAAAGTACAGCAGAAGACAAGCAGGTGGAGATGTGCAGTTGAAGCCCTATATTCCACTAGGAACCCAAGGGAACAATAATAAATAATAATAATCATGGTATAATTGCTAAGATCCTTGTATATTGCTGATCCTAGTATATGCTTTCATTATTTCATTACCTCAAGACTAATAAAATCTACTCAGTATCAGGTAAACTTATTGGAAGAATCTTCTGAAAGACCTTGCCTGTTATTTTTATGACAGACATTATTCATCACTATGCAGTTTGGTTTTAAGTGTGATCATTCCGTTTAATTGTGTAAATGGGTGAAGTGTTCCGAAGTATGAAAGCTGAAATTTTCGGTTTATTTTTCACATTTTCCTTATGCAACACAAGTGAGCCTGTTATTTCATTCAGTCAGGACTTTCCCGCTGATTAATTGGACTGAAGTGCTCGGCCTCCGTTAACTGATACTCGCTGCACAAGTGATAGCCCTTGTGGCCCAGATAGTCTAGTGGATAACACTTTAGCGTTTCAAACTATGGGTGTTGGGTTCCAGTGTCAGGGAGAATTCAGGTACATCTAGACACCTACTGCCAAATCGAACGAACTACGCACTCAGGATTCCACTGCTAATCACCAAATCGAAAACATTTATTTCCCGATACGAATTTAAAACAAGCAATAAAGGTTAATTAAGCAGGATGATTTAATGATGGATTCATCAAATTTCGGTAGAACTCCTCTTCAGCTGAATACTCTACATACACGGATATGCATATACTTTTGAAATTACATTAGGAGATATGAGACTGATAAGTAAATAAACTACATTGAATTAGTCATGCAGAAAGACGACAGGTGCGAATGTTTTCCATGTCACGTTCAAATAAGTAAGCAGAGAGAGAGAGTATGAGAGATTAAAATTAAGATAAATTGCATTAAGCTTCAATTACGTCATTTAGATAGACAGCAGACAAAGAAACAAGAAGATGCTTGCAATTGTGGAGGAGGCTTGTGCAATTCAAGTTTATAAACCAGGTCTGTGTGTACAAAAGGAGATGGTCGTGACTGTGAATCTACAATGGTAATACGTTTTACTTATTATTCTACCTCCCATTATTATTATTATTATTCTTGATTTATCTAAAACTATGCTTTTTCAGTAAGATTATCTTAACTCACTTCAACACTATTATTATTATTGTTATTACAACTATTACTATTGATATTAGTCTGTTTGCAATTCTCGTTATATTCTCTAATGACTAATTGTTTATCTAAGTGATGCATTTGAAGCGTAATGCAATTTATCTTAATTTTGATCTCTCATGCTCTCTCTCTCCTTATCTATTTGAACGTGACATGGAAAACATTCGCACCTGTCGTCTTTCTGCATGACTAACATTCAATGTAGTTTATTTGCTTACCAGTCTTATATCTCCTAATGTAATTTCAAAAGTAAATGTACATCCGTGTGTGTAGAGTATTCAGCTGAAGAGGAGTTCTACCGAAATTTGATGAATCCATCATTAAATCATCCTGCTTAATTAACCTTTATTGCTTGTTTTAAATTCGTATCGGGAAATAAATGTTTTCAGGTTTGCACTCTGTTGTAAATGCATATTCATGTGACTTCATTCTGTTGACACAGAAGAAGTCTTATATTGGTAAATATTGACAAATATTACTGGTCGAACATAAATACCTTTTTACTTCCTTTATAGGTACAGATGAACAATCACAACTGGTTATTGGTGGATTAGCTGCAGTATGGGGAAGACTCGTAGACGAAACTAATCTCATATCCCTATCATGGTGAGAAATGTGCATATGTCAATACTTAAATGTTCACATTAAAACTTATATATAATAATAATTATTATTCCCTTTGGTTCCTAGTGGATCACAGGGTATGACACATACTTAGATGAGATGTGTGTTTGACTACCAACACACGAATAATAAACATTCACTGTGTAGGAATAAATATTCATCCATCCGGAAATTGAAAAATCTCTAAAAACAATTCGACTTTGATTGATAGAAGTCGACAATAATAATTTCATTATTATTTGAATTACAGATTCAAGTGTTGGTTTGTAGGGATTTGATTGATTGATTGATTGGTTACACGATTTCAACTTGAGTTGACATCATTTAGAGAACCATTGTAACACCATCTGGGAGTACTGGACAGCCAGCTGTTTCGTCAGTCTAGTTTGAGACTATACGTCAGTACGCACCTATCACAGCGTCCGAACCCAGGAACTCCTGGCTAGTAAACAACTAAGCCAATGAGACCCGATTCAATGGCCAACTCATGAATTCCAACTTCTGGAGTTCACGACATAGCGCGACTACTAGCCACTGTCTTCGGCGAATATTTGTCCTCACACCCAACCTGCTGTACCCTACTGGAATGCATGCGTCATTGGATCGTGTCCTAGTGGCCTAATAGTCTACGAGCTCTCTGGCGTTGTAACCAGAAGGTCCTGAGTTTAAATGCTATCGGTGGGTGCGTACTGACGAAGAGTCCCAAGATAGACTGAAGAGACAGCTGGCTGGCCAGTACTGCCAACTGATTTTCCAATTGTTCTCTAACTGATGTCAGTTCATGATGAATTCCTCTAAGCAATCAAACAAAATCCCTACAAAACCACTACCTGACAATAAATATTTGTTTGTATACAGAGTTTGTCACACAAGAATAGAAATTACTCAGGGTTATTGCTTACATCACTGGCAAGTCTAGATTAGGGTTACGTACTATGAAAAAGTTCAGAAAGAATCGGATGTTGATGAAAGAGAAGACGTTCAGCGAAGAAACTCTTTTCGACGGCGATTCATTCACATAGCTGAAAAATCGGATTTATACATAATTATTTGTGTGTGTATGTACATGAGGTTCGTCAAGTTTAGATAATTGATCAGTAATGCAAGAATGATCTAATGTAAAGACAAGATTAATCAGACAGCAACTAAAGTAAGATTGAGTTAGTAAGCTAGATGACGACGTAATATAATTGACTAAAATGTCTCAACTTAGATCAGGATAGCAACAGAGGTGATTACAGGTAGAGACTAAGTAGAAGTGGGGTAGAGAATAATGCCATTTAAATTAGGACTAAAAGTGAACAGATAAATTGGATGGCGTAACATAATGACTAGAAATTGAGCGTTGGTCAAGTCAATAACAGTGGTAGTGAGGTGTAGAAATTAAAAATCAGGTAGGGGTGGAGAACGGAGGCAAGTACCCAAATAAATTATGTTTTAGGTGGAGAGAGTAAATAGAAGTTGTGACCAGTAGGGTGCAGCAGGTCGGATGTGAGGACAAATACTCGCCGAAGACATTGGGTGGGGTCGCGCTATGTCGTGAATTGGCAGAAGGCAGAATTCGTGGGCCATTGGATCGGGCCCCAGTGCTTGATAGTCTATGAGCTCGCTAGCCTGGTTTTGAATCCCGGTGGGTGCGTACTGCTGAAGAGTCTCAAACAAGTGCGAAGCAGCTGTCCAGTACTCTCAGGTTTTCCAATGGTACTCTAACTAATGTCAGCTCATGATGAAAATCCTGTAACCAATCAAATCCCTACAAACCAACACTTGAAGGTAAATAGAAGCCTAAGTTGCATTAACAGATGAACATGGAATTATACCCACAGATAGAAGGAGGGGATGGAGAATCTTTATTCTGTCTACATACATCAGAGTTTCCTGTCCGAATTTTACGATCCCCAATCACAGAAGCAACAATTTATAGCAATCGTTCATAAAGGAAAGGGAGGCAGACGATATTTTAAGCTCTTACCCTCATACAATGCTGAAAAGTGAATTAAAACTGATGATTTCTCGCTGTCGCTCAAATCCGAACTAACATTCCACATTCACTTAGACGCTGAATAACTTAACTGCAGCTATTCAACTGAATCTATTTCACTCCTATAACAAGGATAGTCTTTTCATCATGCACTTTGAACTTATCATCCAGGGTAAAAACTCTGTACTGACACGAAGTTGGTTAGCATTTGAAGTATGGTTAGTTGAGTGTTCCACGGATTTTAGAAACAGGTTGTCAATAATGAATTTCATTCAGCATTCTGTTGTCTCAATTAATATAACCATTGAGTCATATGAAAAAGAGAAGACGTTCAGCGAAGAGACTCTTTTCGACGGCGAATTCATTCACATACCTGTACAATAGCATTTATATATAATTATTTGTGTGTGTGTGTGTGTACATGAGGTTCGTCAAGTTTAGATAATTGATCAGGTAATACAAGAATGATCTAATGTAAAGACAAGATTAATTAGACGGGAACTAAAGTAAGATTGAGTTAGTAAGTTAGATGACGAAATAATGACGTAATGTAATACTTTACATTTTCATCTTCCTCGTTCTCTATCCCCACCCGATTTAATTTCTACACCTCACTACCACTGTTATTGACTTGACCAACGCTCAATTTCTAGTCATTTATGTTACGTCATCCAATTTATCTGTTCACTTTTAGTCCTAATTTAAATGGCATTATTCTCTACCCCACTTCTACTTAGTCTCTACCTGTAATCACCTCTGTTGCTATCCTGATCTAAGTTGAAACGTTTTAGTCAATTATATTACGTCGTCATCTAGCTTACTAACTCAATCTTACTTTAGTTCCCGTCTAATTAATCTTGTCTTTACATTAGATCATTCTTGTATTACCTGATCAATTATCTAAACTTGACGAACCTCATGTACACACACACACACAAATAATTATATATAAATCCGATTGTTCAGCTATGTGAATGAATTCGCTGAAAACAGTCTCTTCACCGAACGTCTTCTATCTTAATATAACCATGATATTTTATCCTTACTTGACATTTTTTTGAAGGCCTAGAGCTGCTGCTGCAGCTGAACGTCTTTGGTCTCGAAATCCTGAAGATATCGAAAAGTTCGGTGAACGATTAAGTGAACTTCACTGCAGGATGGCCAAGTGAGTATTTTTGCTTTTTAGCTTGTGTATCGGCGCTATTAAAGTTTGAGAAGTGTATAGATTTGTTATGCAACTCAAAAAGTTGTAATCAAGTAGACTGACAACATGATTTCCCTTCCGGTTGATGTTTATACTCTTGAGAAGTGAATATGTTATCATACTCATAATGTAATCAGATTAGAAGAGATCAGCATATCGGAAGTGACGACAAGAAATCTCAATTGATGTTTTCCTTTTTAAATCAGTATACACTGACGATTTTAATTCTTCTGCCTTGATGCTCCCTTCTTTTCGTCTCACTTCATAGTGTCTTCAACAGATTATAATTTCTGCGTTGGTTGGAAAATATTCATTCTCCTTCATCAACTCTTCTTGAGAATTGATTGAAGCTGCTGGGAATCATCTTGAAGATGTATGAAGGATTTTCATGTGGTTGTGTTTTTTGAGCTGGATAGTCAATTTACGAAGCTTTCGTTGCCCTACTAGGCAACATCTTTAGCGCATACACTTCAATTTGTTGAATTGAGCTTTTAGATTTTCTCTCGAGTTTATTAGTCATCTCTCCTGGTGACTTGACCTTGAAGGTGATTCTTTGTTTTTCTTGTGTGTTGTCACACTCTCTAGGCGGCTACTTGTATTGGAACTGATTGTTTCCTTGACTTAGACTTTGACCCTTTGTGTGTGTGTGAGATTTCCTTCTTATCGGTTGGTGAATTTTGTCGATATCAATGTGTCGCCATTAATAATTGACGATTCACTAGAATACCAGGTCTCTGGAACCATTCTCTAGCATTCTTGGTGTTTCTTCCACTTTGTAATATATTTGAACCTTGGTTGTCCCAGTCGAATTGATATCCGTGGTTGTCTGTGTGTAGTGATGTGCAGGAGTGGATGTCATGTCTTTTGACGGCTAGTTTATGTTCGTCGATACGAAGGCGAAGAGGATGGCATCCACTTTGACCAATATAGTGTTTTTCGCAGTTGTTACAATTTATTTTGTAGATGCAGATGTTGGTTTTATCTTCTTTCGTTGTTGAATCTTTTGGTTGACATAGAGGCAGCTGAGTAAAGTGATTTTTTTGGTTTGTGTGTGACGTCAATTCCTTAGAGTTTGAAAAAATTTTACAGTGATTTCTGAGACGTCTACTATATATGGTGGGGCGATTTTCTTTGTTCTTTCCTCGGACGCCTTTGATTTGATAGGTTGGCTTGGAGGTATATGTCTTTTGATGAAATTCTGTGGATATCTTTTCTTTTGAAGACGTCCATGAGATATCTTTCTTCATGGTGAGAGTGCTGCAATGAGTGATGAAGGATTAAACTGACACTAACAGTAATTTTCAAGCAAGAATATCTAATGTCAGGGATTAGATAAATTTCGTGCACATTATCGTCATATTTCCTACTGTCTGTAGTCTGGAAAGGGGGAAACAACACTCAATATCCTCATGGGTAATTGGTTTAAAACTGATGTCTGAAGAGAGAGAGAGAGAGAGAGAGGAGAAGAAGTCTTAGAGATATAAAGGTAGTAGTAATTATTTAATGGGAGTCGAAGAACTTCAGAAATAGATAGATTTCAAACATACTGTAGCACTGAAGCATAGAAGAGACTGGAGGTATTATTCCTACTAAACGTCTTCAAAATGAATGGATATCCTCACAATTTCATCAAAAACTGTTTAAAATCGAGTTGCAACACCAACAAGAAACTATCACCAAAGGCCATAAGAAAATCCATCCTACTATATATAAAAGATATCTCTGGAATAACAGCTAGAATATTGAAACCATTTGAAATAGATATAGCACACAAGCCAGCCTGCCTGCCAGGCAGCACAATCACTTCATCCGATATTGTGCAGGCCGAAAGATCCAACAGCGTAAGAGGATAGGATAAACACCATTTACCAAAATAAACTCCATAAACTGTAACAGACATTACATCGGTTGGAGTGGGCGTCATCCCTTCGAATCCGATTCCAAGAAGACAAATTAACTGTAAAAAGACATGCTGTATATGTTCTTAAGTCTTAAGTCAATGCAAAAACTGGCGTGAAATTATGCTTCTGTCCATCCCAAGCAAAATACTAAGCTGCATCATCCTGGAGAGAATCAAACAAGCCAACCTGGATGAAAAACTCCAACCAGAACAAGCTGGATTCACGAGAAACAAGTCATGTATTGATCAAATCGCCACAGTACGAATCATCATTGAACAAAGCTTGGAATGACAGTCGCCTTTTTATTTCATCATCGGATTTGAAAAAGTATTCGACAGCGTCGATCGAGAGGTGATTTGGAAACTACTTCGCTAATACGGGTCCCATCGACAATTATACATCTCATCCAACAGTTATACGACAATGCTGCATGCCAAGTAGTCCACAACGGGAAACTTACGGAAGCCTTCAAAGTGAGGACGGGAGTGAAACAAGGCTATCTACTATCACCAATGATCTTCCTGATCGCAGTAGATTGGATAATGCGACAGACAGTGGGCAATGAGGAAACAGGAATGAAATGGACTCACACAAGAAACTTGGAGAATCTGGACTTCGCCGATGATATATGTCTGATTTCTCACAAACCGGAAGATATGCAAATGAAAAGCAACAAGTTGGCAGGAGAAGCATCAAAGATAGGACTTCAAGTGAACATAGATAAAACAGATGTGGTGATGAAGATTCCTCGCCAACACCAACACCAACACCGGCAACAACAACAGACAATAATCAGCCGGCATAAATGAGAGGGACCTGAAAGAAACAACCTCCTCCACCTACCTACCTACCTGGGAAGCATCGTTTCAACTACAGGTGGACGAAACTGATGAGGATATCGACGCCAGGATCATCGGAAAAGCAAGACAAGCTTTCATTACTCTCAGGTCTGTGTGGAGGAGGTCCATAGCACTCAGCGTGAAAATGAAAATAAGATCCTGATCTTCAACTCCAATGTCAAGTCAGTGCCACTTACTTTACGGATCAGAGACTTGCACTGCGCGTCATAAAGTGCATCTCAAACAAACTTCAGACCTTCATCAACAGTTGTCTTCGCTCAATACTCAAGATCAGATGGCTAGCCTGAAAAGATCAGCAACTGGGATCTCTGGCAATGAGCGAACCAACTAGGAACCGATTGCGAAACAAAGAGGCAGGAAGAAATGGAGATGAGTTGGATGGCCATCCTCTGAGGAAACCATCAAGTGACATCACTCGAGTGGAACCCTACCGAAAGGCAAGCGGCTAGTTGATCGTCAGTGTGAGGGTGACTTGGAGGAGGTCATGTGAGAGGAGGAGATGAAAGCATGTGGGCAGACTTGGAGCGGAGTGAAAAAGTTGGCAGAAAACCGAAGGCAATGGAGACGCGCAGCTGAAGCCCTATGTTCCTCCAGAATTAAAGGATATAATAATAATATATGTTCTTTTATATCAATGCATGCAGATAATTACAGATGATTGGGATAATGTCGAAATTTAAAATAGAGGGAACATCAAAAGTGCCAGATAATTCCTAGAAGCCTGGTACTCAAGGGAATCAGCGAATAACAAACATCATTGATATGATGATAAAACTTGGGCACTGTGGTAAAGTGTGACTCTATTATCGATAAAATCTTATTTTGATAAAATTTTAACCACAATGGATTAACAAACATATTAATATAGACCAAATTGACCAACTAGTTAAAAGTAAATCATGTGGCATGAAAGTTCAAATTCCAGATCAATACAGCCGTAAAACGACTACCAGTCACGAAGATGGTTATTGCCAGGAAACACAATTCTATCTATCATTCAATGAGAGTTCAAATCAATTCAAGTTTATGCTAAAACTTGCGCTGATAATGTTGTCCAGAAGGAAGACAAAAGTTTCGCAATTAAACCAATCAACCAGCTCAGAGAACACAACTTATTCTAGATAGAATCTGTGTCATAACAGTATTGCAGTTTTTACTGTAGAGCTTTGGAAGAAAGGGATAAGTTGAAAGGGATCGGATAAATAAACTTAATTGACTCTAAATTTCTATTTCAAAAAGCCAACATGTGGAAGATTTACACTATGAAGTTGTTAAAAGCTATGAGTACATTTCATTGTGTAGTAAATAGTTAATAAGGGTAATAAGTTGAGACTGCGGAGTTCCATAACACTACCGAAATCATAGATTTATGTATATCAGCAAGTTGTCTGTGGTAATCTCCAAAATCTATTAATTATTCTCATTTACGAAGATTCCAATATCATGCATGATATAATGAAGAGCAATTTTGCTGTTTTCATCTGTTTACTTCAGGAACAATATCCAAGGATATCCGGTGAATGGACCTGGTTTCTGCCCACCTTAGACAGTATCCCCAATCATTTGTGTACTTTTATTTAATGTTGTTTGTCAATGATACCTGTTTCATATTGAGCATAATTCTATCCAATATATTCTTAATTCACGCATATCAACATAATACCTTGAATAATACGAGTATCACTGATTGAATAACGCCAGGTGTTAGCAGTACGTGTACCTGTAACGACAGAAAAGAAGGGCCAGGCAACAGATCGTTTATTGAGAAAATCAACACATATTTATAGATTTTTATGTACATTATTATTAGCGCTATTGTTAGCAGAGAAGCAACGTCTTCTGAGCGGTTATTTTCTCGCTGAAGGTTGTTCTGTACAGCTTGTGACCATTTCTTAGAAAGTCAGGTCATATATTTGCGAACTGTATTTACACACGTTAAGTCTGCTTTGATTGGTTGATGAGTTCCTCAAGGTTATGCTTTGTTATTGTTTTACTCATGCCCCCGATTCGGGATGTAACATTGATGTAAATTGCTGTCTACAATGGTAGCTTGCAGACAGCTCTCACCGCACTATTATTCTCGCTCAGTTGGTCACCTTTGTTGGCTTTCACCTGAAGATTATGGGAATAAAAATTACCTCTTTTAAGTGAACACAAGGTCTCACCTTGTATTGCATAGCCAGGTACTATCAAATCCGCAAAATGAGGAGATTTACCATTTGTGATTTGATCACAGCATTATGTTGCCTAGGCTTGTACAATGTTAAGAGAACTATTAGGCATCATTTGTTAGTGAAGGAACATTTGAGGCTGTAATTAAAAGAGTAATCAGCGGTTGAGTTGACACCAGATACTCATTCTTCTGCAGACAACTAGTTAGACACAAACATTCCCTGTTTTTTTAACAGCATTCCCTGTAAGACATTTGTTAGAACTCTGATAAGCGGTTCAAACTGTTGAGTAGTCAGGATTGAATTTTACTCATCCAATAAACATCACTCATTGACATATGTAATGTGGTAAATAAATGAAATCCCGGTGGGTGCGTACTGCCGAAGAGTCCCAAACTAGGACGAAACAGCTGTCCAGTACTCCCAGGTTTTCCAATGGTTCTCTGAATAATGTCAACTCGTGATGAAATCCTAAATGAAATATGTTAAGAGGACTTATTTAACGGAGTGATGATGAAGTTTAATGAAACCATAAGCTTCCGATTACAGCACTAGGCGAAATGGGATCCCGTTAAAGAGGTGTGTGTGGGGGGGGGAAGATTATTTACTTCAGCGTTGTAAATACATCTTCCTGACGAGTGCCAACAAAGACGAAACCTAGCATTACGATTTATTGAAGCTTGCATCTAACCACATGACGCCAAAACATACTATTTAAAATAGGCATCTCCACACACAACTGAAGTCAACGGAAGGTTGAACTGAATGTATATCGTTAGTTAATCATATATACATTATTTACAACTATTATTGTTCCTTTGGTTCTCAGTGCAACATAGGGCTTCAGCAGCACGTCTCCACTTTGTCCTATTCTCTGAGATCATCTTTAACCGGACCCACAATTGCCAATAGTCACTGATCACCTCGTCGCATGATCTCCTCCATGTCACCTTCAGACCAACTCCAAACTCATCATTTCACATTCGGGTTCCACTCGAGCAGTGGCCTGAATTGCGTGCAATGTCGTCCGACGGTTGCCTCAGGGTATGCCCGAACCGTCTTCACTTTCTTCTGCATATTTATTGGGCAATAGGTTCTGAATTGGTTTGTTTCCCGCCAGAGTTTCACGTTGCTAATTCTTTCTGGCAAACTGACTATTTGATCTCTAATATGGTGCCAGCCAGCGAAGGCGGTTGTTAATAAATGTCTTCAGCAGCCTATTGGAAATGCTTTCTTATCGAATCAACTGCAAATACGTGTACTAGGAACGATTCAACACCTGTCCAGTTGGAGATCTGGAAAATTCTACTACCTCTACGACAAATAGGAGAGAACAAAGGAAACTAAAAAACTGAAGTTTCGAAGTCGTGTGATTATAATTGACGAGATGATTATGAACCACAATAAATTTTTTGCGAAACGTCATCCAGTAAATAATATTGTTTCGCTGTGTGATACATCTAATAAACAAACTAAAATGGAATTAATTACTATCACATTGTCCAAATTTTACACATATCTTAAGATGAGATTGTGCATACAAATTGTGCAATTAGTCATAGTAATCGTAATTGTGATAAAACCGATGGTGCTACCAATAACAAGGATGAAAAGGTGTGACAATATGTGATAACAAGAATAACGGAAAACAGCATGATTAAACAAACAAACAAATTTTCAGGTAGTGGTAGTCGATAGAGGCTAAGAAAAACAAATGAACCGATTGCGTAATGCTAGACTGATTGTAAGGGAAGTAAATGAGACACGTTTATAATTAAGATGTGATAATATTAAGTAAGGATAAGAAAGGGTTGAAAATATAAACAAGGGGTGCAGTAGAAGTCATTAGTTGGTTATGTCTTAATAGGCCGTTAAGGGAGGGATTATCGCTGGACGAACCTCTTTTGAATGCATCGTTTGGGTGGAATAGTTCGAATGCCTATCACATCAGCTGTGTTCGTGCAGTAGACGAATACGAAGTCTATTGGAAAGATTCTGCGGGATAAGATGGATTACACTGAGAGCTCTTGTTTTCTCCACTACATGATCACTATTAACTAAATGTGACAAAATGGAGTTATGGATTGCTTCTGTCTGTCCTTTTGCGAACCAATAAATTGTGCTCGAAACGTGGTCATCAGTAAAACTGCTGTATAACAAAGACTGTGAGAGACTTTACCAAAATAATTTGGCTCCCCAATGGAATTACACTCTACCACAGTGTACAACTTCTTTTCTTATATCAGTGTCTTAAGCAGGTTGTGCGTCGGTGAAACAGCGGTTACGACTCTTGCCGACCATGTACATGGTCCGGGATTCGCCCCCCTGCCGACGCACACCTGATATCAATGGTCGGCTCGTTTTCACGAACTCACATGGTCAATGGAAAGCTACTTGAGACATGATTTCACAAATGAATACATCTGTCTTTTGAGAGCAGCATTAAACTAGGCGCATGAAATGTGAAAAAAACAACTGATATGTGTGAATTTCGAAACAGTTATTCCCTTTGATAAATTTGAATAAACCATTTAGCGGGTAAATGTCAAGAGCTAATATTATTTCATAGTTTCTCTAGCATTGCTTTACAAATTGCAAATAGCAAAATAATAAAATAAAATCTATGACATTTAGTCAGTTATATATAACAAAAGTATGTACTACTAATCATTATTATTATTGTTCCCTTGGGTTCCTAGTGGAACATACGGCTTCAACTGTACGTCTCCACTTGCTTCTGTCTTCCTCCTGCTGTACTTTTCACCTGCCTCCATGTTAGTCCATACTCTTTCAACTCCTCCTCACACTATCTCCTCCGTGTCACCCTCGCACTGACATCCCACTCACCGCTTCCCTCTCGGCCTGGTTCCACTCGAGCGATCGCCTGACGCACGCGCGATGTCACCCAGCGGTCTCCTCAGCGAGTGTCCAATCCATCCATCTCCACTTTATCCTACATATTTGTTGGTTGGCGATTGGTTATTGTTTTGTTTGTTCCCATAGTTTCTCGTTCGTGATTATTTCCGGCCCGGCCATCTGATCTTCAGCATAGATCCAGCAAAGACAGTTGTTGGTTGATAAAGGTAACGTCTGCAACAGGCTGTTGGAAATATTCTTTGTGACCCGCCCGACAAGTTTCTGATCCTTATAGAAGAACTGACTCGACGTTTGTATTGAAGATCCTACAGAATTTTGTTGTTGATGCTGAGTGACGAAGATTTCCAGATTGGTTTCAGGTTCCCGATTCTCGATTTGACATCCTCGTCCGTTCGGACTACCTGTAGTTGAGACAATGCCCCCTACATCAGTGACTGAATGAAGTAACCTCTTTCAAATCCCTCCCATTGATGGTGATTGGCACTGGATGTTTCTGCTGCTGTTGTTGTTGGTGGTGGTGGTGGTTATTTTCATAACCTCCGTCTTGTCTATGTTCACATAGACTCCTGTCTTCGCCGGCTGCTTATTCGACCAGTTTGTCGGTTTTCGCTCGCTTGTAAAACTTCGATTTTGTGTGACATCAAACATAGGTCATCCACGCGCGAAATCCACGTCTTCTAGGTTCTTCACATCGGTCCAGGATATCCCTACCTGTCTTCTCGTTTCCCACTCACTGTCTGAAGCATAATCCAGTCAGTCCACCACAGTTAGGAATATCATTGGTGATAATAGGCAGACACCCTTGTCTCACTTCTCTGTCTCACTCCAAACGCCTGGCTGAGTTTTCCGTTGTCGTACATCTGTTGAATGAGGTTGATGAATATTTGGGGCACTGTACGCCATAGTACTCGAGTAGTTTCCAAATTACTTTGCGGTCGACGCTGTCGAAGGCCTTCTCAAAGTCTATAAAGTTGAGGTAGAGGTTTGATTGCCATTCCATGCTTTGTTTGATGACGATGCGTAGAGTAATTAATTATAATATGATAGATGTGTTGAAATATATTGGAAGACACATCAATGTACTACTAATAACCAGTTATATTTAAGTAGGTCAAGTATCCCGTGGTAAGCATAGGTTGAAGTCTGTTGGTTTTTGTATACAAGGTTTGGGATGAAAACAATTATAATTATATGCTGCGAGGAAGTGATTGACAAAGAAATGCGTAATCTCCGAGGTACCCTAATGGAAAACGGTTTTCCGCCTACGCTCATAGACAAGAATCTCGAATCAAAGAAGACTTTCGAACAAGTCTAATCCGTCCCGAAGAAGATATTTCTGTTTAATCTAGAATTCAATAGTGATATTGAAGCAGAAATCCTTCGTAAACGCCTCTCCAAATCTCTGAGGAAAACATACTTCGCCGCAAGGCTACGACTGACGTCTTCCTGCAAGAAACTGTTCAGCCAGAACGCGAAAGACAAGCTGTCGCACTGGGTCACTTCGATGTGCATATACCAATTTACTTGTTCATGCGAAGCTCAGTACATCGGCCGTATCATGCGCCAAATTGAAAAACGCGCTCATGGACACTATCCAGT